GGAGGGAGGGAAGGAAGGAAGGAAGGAAGGAGGAAAGGAGGAAGGAAGGGAGGAAGGAAGGAAGGAAGGAAGGAAGGAAGGAAGGAAGGAAGGAAGGAAGGGGAGATGGAAGGGAGGCAGAAACAGAGGGAGGGAGGGATGGACCCAACTGTTCAGGAGCCTGTGCCCAACACCCTGGGGACACAGGCACGGCTACTCCCGGCCATGCCAAGGACCACAAGTGCACCCTAGCTGTCACCCCCACAGGGCTGGGCGAACCAGCGGCAGGTTCACTATCCCGCGGGCTCCCTCTAGCAACTGGCAAGCAGAGACTGAGCCACGAGACAGCTTGTGCTGCCCCAGATGAGAGTCACGGTGCCCACTGGACTCTGGGCTTTACACGAGGGGGCACTGACCGAGCTCCGAAGGAGCCCCACCGCTGCTTCCCCGCCCTTCCCTCCTGCTCCGTCCGCCAGCTGCTGGGCCAGCGAGACCCATCACCAGTATCCGGACTGCGCTCTGCAGACCCCACAGCTCTTCCCGACCCCGTGCCAGTCGGAGCGGAGGGCGCCAGCCAGGGATCCCAAGAGCAGTCGTCAGCAATTCCCAGACGGGGTAGGGAGGGCCCGGCGGGTGAGCTCTCCCAAAGCCCGTTAGCCCAGGCCTCACACCCAGCCCATCTAGAGCCCGAGGGGGGCTCGCTCCGTTACCCACTTGTTGCCCAGGCTGTGGCTCTTCCTGTGCCTTGGGACCGGGGGTGTGGGGAGGCTGCCAGCAACGGATGCGTCAGGGCAGGTGGGCCGCCGGCTGAACCTTGCGGAGCTGGAGCCGGCAGAGGGGCCTGTGAACAGAGCGGAGAGAGGGTCGTGAGGGGCCGTGGAGGCTGCGAAGAGGTGGGCCCGGGGTGGGCTGTCCCAGATGGGTCAAGATTCGTGCAAGCCCCGTGGCTTTCTCCTCGTGAGACGCGGACCCCTCACTCCCAGTGCAACTAGCTCCTGCGGCTGACATCTGTCAGGATGGCCAGTGTCCTGCTGCGCCCGGTGCCCCTGACAGGGAATGACATCCCCAGAGACCGGGGCAGAATCCTTCATGCTGGCCACGTCCACAGCTACATACTGAGGGGCGTGGTCCCAACCACTATTGTACGCTCGAAGTTTCTGTGGCTTGGGAAGGGAGGTCTTGAAAGGAGGTGACCCCAGATGCTGGCCTAGCCTTAGCTACCTGGGCTGGACACCGGACGTGGGGGCCAGGGCTTCTGCATGTCTTGCAGGGCACACCCAACGCACAGCAAATCAAGGGGCTGCTGCCTGGCCGTGCCGAATAACTTTCCCAGGGGGACCTGGGCAGCCTCAGGTCCACCCAGGACTCCAGATTCTCCACCACACCGTACTGCAGGTCCACGAGCGACCGAAGGGTTCCCATGTCCTCCTGCATGCCTGGCTCATCCTTTTTTTTATGTTGAAATGTGTCCCTAAAATCTGGTGTCCAAGTGTAATGACATTTCCATCAACCTCATTTTTGCCAAACCAGTGAACACTCATCGGCTTCTCACCAGAGGCCCTGGCATCAGACGCTAGTGATCACTGTTTGTGGCGCAAGGAACCTGAACGAGGAGGCCTTCACACCACACTGCCTCTGGGCGCCACTGTCTGCAAGACCCGGCCTGGTGGCAGGAGGCAGGGGACACGGTCTGAGGTCCCAATCCCAGCCTGCATGTGGAGTCTCAAAAACAGGGCTCTGGCAGACCAATGCACGATACCGTCACGCGCTGCTTCACGATGGGGATACGTTCTAAGATATGGCCCAGCGAGGCCATTTTGTCGTGCGAACATCAAACCCAGGCGGTCCAGCCCGCTGCACACCGAAGCCATACGGTGTAGCTTGTTGCTCCTAGGCCACAGGCCTGTACGGCACGTTACTGCACAAGCCAACACGCAATTAAATCAAGCTCGAAAAATGAAGCGGTTGAGAGACACGGTAAACGTGACATGTGTGCACGCGGCTGCCGGCGTGACACAGCACTTCTTTTTTACAAGTAGGAAGAGTATACTCTAAAATAACGACTAAAAGTACAGCACGACAAGTACCTAAACCAGTAACGTAGTCGCTGAACATCAAGCATAACGTACTCTGCGTGATTGCACGTGCTGAACTTGTCTACGACTGGCAGAGCAGCAGCCTGCTTGCATGAGCATCGCCACGGACATGTGCGTAATGCCTTGCCATATGATGTCACGACAGCGATGACGTCACTAGGCGACAGGGATTTTCCGGCTCCATGATAATCTATGGGGCCACTGTCGTATACGCGGTCCACCGCCGATCGAACCATCACGATGCGGTGCACGACTGTACCCAGCTCAGACAGGCCCCGGGAAGGCCTCCGAGGAGTGTGTGGAGGCCCCGAAACTGTACCCCAAGCTCTGTGCATGTGTGCGTTTTCCTGGTGAAGGGTGGCACACTGCCCGTCGGCTTCCTGGAGGCTGTAATTCCTAACCTGGGCAGGTCTCGGACGCCTGGGGAGAGGGTGTGGAGATGGAGGGTCTTGGGCTCACCCCTGCAGCTTCTGACCTCATCGCGTCAGGTGGGGCTGGGCACTGCTCTCCTGGTGATGCCGATGTGCACCCCGGAGAGGAGCTTCTGCTCGAGGTGCTGGCGCGGGCTCTGTCCTGGAGGAAACGTCTGCGGGCCATCCTGCTTTGTTTTTGTTCCGCACGTATTGCTCAATACATGAGTCCGTGCACAGGGTGGAATTTGCCTTGTTTATCAGAGGGATGATGGGCTCTCCGCCTGAGTCACTCTGGCTCCCACCCCGGGTTCAGAGAGTATTTTGTAAAGGTCAAATCGCATGGCTCCTCCCCCTGTAGTCTGAACTGGAACTCGACTCCCTGGTGTCATAGCAATAATAATAATAATAACGGTGAGAATTATGGCGGAAGGTTCGGCGCCCGGCACTGTGCTGTGCGCGTGGGCTGCAACCCGGAACATGGGCTCTGTCAGCAAGCCCTTCGACGGGGGAGAAAGCCAGGGCTTATATATCTGCTGCATGCAGGACTTGAACCCAGGGGTACAGCACTATGGGGGGGCGTGGGGGGGAGAGGAGCTCTACAGTTCAAAGGTCAGGCATTAGGGAAAACCTGAGGAAGCAGGAACGGTGACACATTTGAGGTGATCTGATAAGCAAGGAGAAGCACTTCCTCCAGGAAATATGTGATGAACGAGGTCCAGCAGCGATTCTGGAAAGCGACGGCGAAGGGGCCTAACGTCTGCTATGTGCCAGCTGTGTGCTGGGTTTGTATAAACACATCAACGTCCTATTTCACGGACTCCTACGCAGTTGTTACTTTGACTAGCGCCGTTTCAAAGGGATGCGCGGAGCATACCGGGTCACAGGCTGGAGGGGTTCTGGGTTGTTCTCTCAGCCAGCTGTGCATGCGGCAAGAGCTGGACACTCCGAGGCTCTTCTGGTAACTTCCTTGGCCTTCCCGTTCACTCCCGATGACGGCCCCCTTTCCCTCCTGTCTCCGCGTGGCTCCCAGTCCTGGCTCGCTTCCCACCTTCGGGCTCTCCCAAGCCTCCGCATTCGCCCTCCGTCTCCTCTCGACTGTCCTTCCAGAACGAGGCCTGGATCCGCCGCTTCTGCGCGCTGCTGGGGACAGCCTTGGGAGGCACGCCTGGCCTCAGACGCCCCTCAGCACAGCTGGAGGGAGGGTGGGGGGCCCAAGCAGAAGTGGCTGTGATGTCCCCAGGCCCTCTGTCAGAGCTAAGGCTGCTCTGGGAGCCGTGGTCTTGGCCACTCCCAGGCCTGCATTGTTGACCAACAGCCTGCGCCTGACGTTGAAGCAGAGGAATGTCCATTCAGCTGGGACCTAGGGATGGGGTGGCCTCTCTGCCAGTAAGCAACACTCTCTGCTACTGAAAGGCCTCACGTTCCTGCCCCACCAAGCCTGGGGTGGCCACCACGTGACAGCACCAGGGACATGTGCCTTCTGGGACGGGTTCTGAGCGACATGGCTGGCAAATTTGCCTCTCCATGTCCTCCGGGCAGGGCCAGGGGTGGGGGTGGTGTTGAAGAGCTGGGGCTCTGGCCCGATATGGCACGAACAGCTGGAAAAACTGACCATGTGGCTTGACTATCTCAGAGGATTGCTCTATTTTTCCTCAGCATAATTTTTCCATGAATAATCTTTAAAGCTCTTTAAGTGGCTATTTCTTTAGCAGTTTTATTGGAACATATGAGAACTGACAGTCTGTGGAGAACGAGATATCATGTTTAAAAAAATATCTGGTTTTCATTACATTTTCTCAAGAAACCAACATCCTGCCCAGCGGACCACTCGTTGATTGTAGGAGAAGAGACCACAGGGCCTTCTAATCATGGCTTTGGGGTGGATAGGATTTTGGAGTGGTCGGCAACAGCAAAGAACTCAGGATCCAGAGGCAGCCGGTGACTGGTATCTGCTACTGGTATCTGCCACTTGCAGGCTGAGTGCCCTTGGGCAAGTCACTTCGCACCTCTGAGCCTGAATTCTACATCTACAGAACAGGGACAGCGACATGACCTCCTTCCCTGTGAGGAGGAAATGATGCATGTCCCTCCCTCCTTCCTGCGACCCACGTCCCCTGTCCCTGGGCCAGCCGCTGGGCCAGGTGCTGGACAGCCAGGCTGAACGAGAGCGGATGTCCCACCGTCATGGAGTTTAGTCTACTGGGGGGGAGAGACGAGCAACCAGGCAATTACACCCAGGAAGGAAACGTCTTCATAGGAAAATCATAGTAATAATAAATCTAGTACCAGCAATGACGACACCAACAGCGTAACTACCCCGATGACAACGGTGGTGGTCACGGTGACAGCCCGCACTCACTGAGCATCTGCAAGGTGCCAGGAACCGTGCTGGGCCCTGCACAGGATCTTCTCTAAGCTTCGCCACAACACCGCCTCGCAGGCACTATTATCTCATCGCTGCAAGGTGGGGCCTGAGCTCGCAAGGGTCGAGGAACTGCCAGGCAAAAGCAGCTGGTGAGCAGGGGAGCTGTGAGCAGGGCGCCTGAGAACACGGGAGGTCAGAGCGGAGCTGGAGGGTCTGGCGTCCAGGCTGGCACAGGAGCCCCAGCAGAGGCAGTGGCGTACGCAGGGGCGGCAGCTCGTGCAGAGACCCCGAGACAAGAGACAGCAGAACCTGCTGCAGAAACTGCAGAGAGCCGGCCGGGCCGAGGAGCTCAGGAATGTGTGTGTGCTGGGGGCGCGGGCGGTGGGGGGAGCTGGTGGCTTGGCCAGAGCTGCGGGGCCGTCTGAGGAGCCTCGCGTTTAACGAGGGGGAGGCGCACTGATTTTTAGGAGCGGCTGTAATGTGCTTGGGTCTCACCCTGTGAAGCTCGCTCTGGCTAGAGAGCATGTGCCTGCGGCCGAGCCCGCAGGCTGGGAGGGAGGGCTGCGAATGAGAGGTGTCCAGGAGGTGGACCAGTGGGGGTGTGGCGGGAGCGGGGCTCGGTGACCCTCAGTGGAGGCTGGTGCCGATCACTTAGGGACCAGGCTTGGGGGGCAGACGAGAGGTTCAGATTGGGACAGCCGTCGAGCGGCCACTGGGTAGAAGGGTGCAGTGCTCAGGAGGCAGGTGTGTAGGACATGTCACGCAGGGGTGCGTGGAGCCCCGGGAGAGGTGATGACCCAGGGCTGTGAGCTCAGTGGGAGGAGGGAAGGCCTGGGATGGAGGGACAGACGTGGGAGAAACCAGCGTTTGTGGGATAAGAGAAAGGGGCTGAAAGGAGCTTGTGTAAAATCAGGGTCACCGGAACAAATACTTGAGACAAGCATCATTTTAGGTGCGTGGGGAAAGT